ACACATCCTTCCCTAATTCAGATTCAACACGAAAACCCTTCCTTATTTTCACATCATAGGACTCATATCCCACAATTCTGGATCCAAATTCTGCTCTACCCTTGTGAAATTCACCATTCCTAAAAAACCCATCAACCGAAACATCCGAATCAACTTTCTTAGGTTGCTCATGTCTAAAATACCCAGAATCAGAATTGTCAGAAACCTCAATCTCCTCAGACTTTAACTTTTTCTCTCTAACTCTCTTCATCCCCATAACATCACTCACTTTATAGGTACAGTTCAGACCTTCCTTAGTATTAATCCTCATATCGATAGACGAAGATTTGGCCTCCAAAATCACAGAGTTGTTGTCTGAAGATTCAGCAAACGAATTCAAACCCCCTTTACCACCCGAATCGCGTGACAGCATCATCAAACTAAGAGCAACCTCTTGCTGTTCTTGCTCAATTCCGGAACCACCAGACGAAGAACCACCATTTGCCACAGAAGAGTAAACATCCAGATTCTGCTGCTTCAATCTTTTGGAAATCCTTCTCTGCCTCGGAGGAGCCGATGTCTCAGTATCCGACTGACTGTCCATTACATCAAGCAGCTTCTGTTTCTCACTGAACTCTGAGATTTCTTCAAACTTGTTCATCAGCTTCTCCTTCTCCGAGTGACAAGCCATGTGACCACACAGAGCTTTCAGTGACTGAAACCCTTTGCCGCATTCTTTGCACACTTTCTCCTGCTGCAATTGGAAAGTGGGGCCCGCATCCGAAAACCTCCATGTTTTCTTGGGATTTTCTCTGAGAGAGTACCCAGAATTCCCACCATCAAAAGGTGAAAACTTTACAATCCTAGCAGCAGCTTTGGCTATAATTTCATCGTCTTCTTCCTCTTCTTCTTTTTCAATAACTGGTTTTTTGTTCAGAATCTTCAGATGGGTTCTTATGTGACCACCCAATGACTTCCCACAACGGAATCTTTTGCTGCAAAACCTGCAGACAAATTTATTTTTCTGGTTCTGATCGTTCCGATCTTCTTCTTCCATGGTTGGATTTTTTTTCATCTCTCAATAGTTCAAACCAAAAGATGGGCAGCAGTAACAAAGTAAAATCAGCAAAACTTACCTCGAACAAAATAGCTAGAATGCAGCATTATTCGGTTCCCTGATTCCAGCAAAAAATACCCAAATAGCAGATAGAAACAGAGGCACAATCTCTCTCAGATCGAGCGAGCAACTGAAGAAACAGATCACAAAGTTTGTAGCTTTATTGGAGGTGATGAACAGATGGGAGAATCAAAGTGCTGAGATGTGACAGTTTTGTGAAGTACGAGATCCGACCCAACAAAAAGTAACCCTTTAAATTCCATATCAAAGTATAACCCACAATCCCCTTCTTCAATGTTGAAAACAAAAATTAGGATTAAATCGAAAAGATCAAATTTTGAAGAAATGGGTTTCTTCACGCTAATGATGGCGATGAAGAGGCCTCTAAAAAACAATCAAAAAGCTAAGCCATGACTGATTCAGAGATTCTTCTCTCTCACTTTCTCTCTCCAAAGTCTCTCTCTCTAACTTGTGTTATACTCGGAGGAGAATTCCATGCATGGAAGCAAAAGATAAAACGGGAATAGAAGATTGGCAGCACGTGTAGTCAAGTGAGACGTGTTCGCTGTTCAATTGGACGGCCAGGATTGATGGGTGTATTTTAAGGATCCCAAGGTTTGAGGAGCAATACTACTGGTTAGTCTAAAATAAAATTGAATCATCATCGTCCAAACTAGGGTAAGGATAATCATTGTAAATTTTTTTTATTTAAAATTGAATATAAACAATATTTGATAAAAACTGATCGTACGATATACAATAAATGAATATAATTGGAGGATACTCAGGATCCTGACAAAGAGAATCCGGCAATGATCCTCCTGGTCCAAACTATGCCTTAACCTTGTCTTTGCTTGTAATTGTAGAGAAGCACAATCCAAAGGTCGGATCTTTATTGTTTTATAAGCTTCCTGTATTAATATAGTCGGAAGAGTGCTTGAGACAGTCTTCTACGCACGCACAAGTGACGCTCAACCATTGGTGCAAGTGCGAGCCCATATGAGCCGGTATGAGTGATTGCGTCCAGCACAATCCGAAAAGGAAATGTATTTGCATAGGTGATAGGGGCATGTCAACATGTGATGAATTTTCTTTGTTTTCAATCCCTTTCCCACTATTAGTATATGACTGGTGTTTTGTAGTCTATCCACACTTTCATATACCTTGTTTCTTTGTTGTTAGTCCACATTTTCATACTTTGAATTTAACAGCTTTTTCACCGTATAATTCAAGTTTTATACATAATTCAACGATTGAGACAGCTTTTTCACCGTATAATTCAAGTTTTATACATAATTCAACGATTGAGATTGAAATCATCAAACAAATCTTGAAGTTGGATGCCGACTAAGATGACACATGTTGTTCCCAATTCTTCAAACACCAAAACAAACTGTCGTTTAGAAGTGCTTTTAAAATGACTAAAAAGACTTTTAGGAAAATTGATTTTGAGTTTCAAAATCACTTTTAAGTGTTTTTTGGAAGAAGCACCAGATATGTATTTCTTACATGAAACACTTTTAAGTATTTTTCCAAGACCCATTTGATTTTTACTAAAGATTAGTTTTTAAAACATTTTCAACAAAAACGTTTTTAGTCTTTTTAAACACTTCCAAACACATACTAAGTTCCACTGTTCAATTCTTAGAAAGGCATATTTGCTTAGTAATTACCAGTTCCATTGATTAAGTCATTCACCCTTATTGTACGGATCTGATTGTCATATATCCATTTCAGATGTTTTTTTTTTATTTTTTTTATTTTCCTGCTTGGCATCTTCCATATCATGCATTATTCTTTTGTGGGTCTTATTTTTTGTTTAAAACTTATATGAGTTTAGATAACAAATACAATTGGCCAAAGAGAAAATAAAAGACGAAAAAGAAATTTATCTACTCGATTGTATCTCCTAATTTATTTTATTTGTGTCCATTAACATGATTCAAATTTTAATAAACAGACACACTATTTTAATCAATTGATTTAATTTTGACCTGTGTTTGGCCAAGCTTAACCTAAATACGAGTTCTAAACTTTTTAGAGTTGTTTGATAAATTATCTAGTGGTTGACCAAAATTTGCCAACCCAACTCAAGAGAACCACCTGGCCAACACAAAAAAGTAAAAGAATTCAACCACCCATTTTTTGAAAGGAATTGGATCCTCTACTGAGCACAAGCTCATGATCCTTCTGATCAGCACACGTGAACCGTTAGATTTTAATCCAACGATTATAAATAGGAGATTCATTTGAAAACTATAATAATTGTAACTGTTTAATTAAAATTCACGTGGGCTGATCAGCTGGATCTTGAGCTTGTGCTCAAGAGAGGATCCAATTCCTTTTTGGAATTGCAAGCATTGACTTGGAAGATATGAGTCGCAATTGCAGTGTGCATGTCAGTCCTCCCTCATTATATATTCTCAGCAGAGTGCTTGGTTGGCTGCCGCAACTAATACATTTTTTATTGGAGGAGAATTCTCTATCTTCCTAATCTCTCGACCTTTTCATGTTCTCTTATTTGAATGGTCACAGTTAAATCACATCAATATCATATATTGATTTTTTTTTTTATAGAGATAACAAGACAAAAAACAATGTCTGAGAAGAGGGGATGGAAAAAAATGGGAATAGGAGGGTAGAGAATCCTTCTCCTTTTGTATTATCTCCCGATTCATGTTTGTCGAGATGCCAACGATATCTTTTTAAAGTTCGATTTTTTATGAATTTTATGTTATTTCATTTTTTTGGTACAAAAATACATAATATGAAAGAATTATCGTTAAATTATAAGCTGATGGTACATTTACAAAAAATCTCATTCTTAGTCACCTTAGCATTTCTCATGTTTGTTTTCCTTTACTCGACTTCATCTATTAACCCATGAACCTAAATAACAAAAAGAACAATTTCACCACCCGCAACTTCAAAAGTTTGAAACACATTTTTTTTTTTTTTTTTTTTTTCACACTGCAAATATGTTAGTGTTGAAGAAAAAAAATGAAAGTGTAAATATCATTGTTCCGAGACATCGAAAAAGGGGGAAGTATTGATAAAAATTCTCATGAGGGTGCCTGCTGTGGGACTATAAATAACGAGCTAATGGAGCTGCGGTATTTCTTCGGTGCAGGTTGGCATTTGTGCCGAATTTTTGTGGCCGTCAGATCCCATCCAAGGGCCCAAAATCATCACCTGGCGGCGGGAGTTTTTCATCGGAGTATGATTTTCTTTCATTCTATTCTCTTTTCAATATGATTTTCTTTCATTCTATTCTCTTTTCCTTCTCCCCTCCTATCATATTTTTTATTTTGTCTTTCTATATAAAAAATTAATATAAAATATTGATATAACTTAATCGTGTAGATTAAGGGCTGGTTTGGTATTGTTGTGCTTTAAAAAAAAATTGCTTCTGTTGTGCTATGAGAATAAGCAGCTGTAAAATAAAGCAGCAGAGTATTTGGTAAACTTTTTTATAAAAGTGCTTTTGGGAAAAAAAAAAAAAAACAGTATTATAATGTTTAGTAAACTTTTATGTAAAACAGATGTGAAAAAAAGTTGATTTTTCAAAGCTGGGTTTTGCAGCTTCTTGTTTTTGGTTTGTTTTCACCCAAAACTGTGAAAAAGAGTTGAAGCTGAATGTTTACCAAACATAAAAATAGCCCCAGCTTTTTTTGATACTTTCTTCAGAATGTCCTCAGTACTAAACCAGACATAAATAGGAAGGGAGGAGAGAAGGAAGAACAAAGAGGGAAGAGAATCCAACTCCTTCCCATCTAATCCCAAAGCCAGGTGTTTGATGCAGAGTTGGGAAATTTGCTTAGAAAGTTGGGAATTTCGAATAAGACGAGGGGAAAGGTCGACTTCTTTTGTACGATGATCATGAAGAGAAGAAAAAGAAGAAGAATAAGAGAACAAGGAAAAAGACGATGTATTTGATGACGAGTTTAACCACTCAACATTTCTTTTCATATTTTTTTATTAGCAACTAATTGGGGTTAAAAGAATTATTTCGTAAGCCACCTAGCCACCGGCTGGTGCCTTGCGCTCATCCGTCATCTTGTAATCCGCCATTCCTTGATCAAATATGTCTTCAATCATACTCCACGTTGGCAGTAGATCATCGCCTTTCATGGTGTCCACCGCGAACCTTCCGTCCCAAACTTTAGCGTTGCAAGGCTCCAATAAATATGCATGACCAGCTGCATCACTGGATGCATTAGGTTGGCTATCCAAGCATTTGCTGCGAGAATCATGGATATTGGACTGAAATTCGAAAGATACACACGAATCATCTTGGAAATCAAATTCCTCTCCAGTACACCCTGAATTCTTTTCCCAATCCCCCAGTGTATCAAACTTTCCTTCCTTGACTGACTTCAGCATGTATGATTGTGATACATGATCTATCCTGCCATCCGCTTCGCTAGAATCTCCTTCAACATGCCCCACATCACGATCACTGTCGCCACCATCACTACTATCATCTTCTTCAGAGTAATCTTCTTCATTGCCCACACGATCATCTTGATAGTAAGGAGACTCAATAACGGAGTCTTCATCATCTTCAGCATCTCGCACATCATTGGAACCTCCATCGTTTCCATGCCACTCATCATCATCACTATCTATTTCTAGTATACAAGATCTGTTCTGAGCGCCCCGCCTGCGATGCATAAATACATTAAAATAATAGCTGACCAGTTCCCTTTTACTACGAGAAGGGAACACTGCAGACAACTGCTTCCAAAACTTCCTCCCCAGTGATGCAGGATTAGAGTAAACAACCTCAAGATAGGCCTGCTCTTCTTCTTCACTCCATCTTCGTGCCACTTCCTCCCCCATGTCACAAAACCCCAACTTGACAAACTTTTCATTTCCAAGAGTTCTTCTAAGTTCTTCCCTTGCTTCCATGACATGCTGTCGCACACACCTGACTGTACCTGCGTCCAGGCAGCTACAATCTGTTCGACCAAATCCAACCTTATCACACTCAAGTGCTGAGAGGTTTGAGTCAAGCATTGGAATGACACAAGTCCCTAAACGCTTTTCCTCACTATCATTGTTCACAGTCTTTTCTGATTCCAAAGATTGCAAGGAAATGTGGTTGTTATAAATCTCATCTTTCTGATCCGTCGATTTCATGCGTCCACTCCATAAAGGTATCCTGGCCTGATGATCTGGTCCAACTGGAACTTGTTTCCTTGGAGAGCAGTCAAACAAAGAAGAATAAGCATCCTTGAAAGGAACACATGTTCTCCTTGGGAAGTCAAATTTGAAATCCTCAGCAGGAGGTGAATAAGCATCTGGTCCAGAACGCACATCTTCTTCACCATAACTCCTGGTAACCGATGAGAAGGGAACACAACCCTTGTTGACAGCTGTTGAATCTTCAGCAACAGTATATTTTTCAAGAACCTCAAGCCACTGGGACTTACAATCACCACTCCCATTCTCACCTGTTTTACGAAGAAAAAAATATATATTAAACTTCAACATGAATCAGTCAAAGCAACCGTGTTCAGTAAGTTAAAAAGCAGGCTATATTAGCTACAAAAGGAACATGAAAGTAATGTAACGCCAAAACAACATTACCTGAAACATAAGTTTTTCGGGGAGCACCATAACAAGAAACAGCATCAAAGAATGGTGAGCACCTATCACCGAATTCATGTTGTCTTGAGTGCTTATAAGGAAGCTCCTGGAACTCGACATCATCAAAGGGCCTTTTGAATCCCATATTAACCTGAAGCCCAAATAATTAACTTCTATGAAAAATTTGAAAATATGCATGACAACACCAATAACAATAAAACTTATGCATTAGCAGGAATAAATTACTACATTTGTCATAACAGATTTTCCAAGACAAGAACTGCAGGCATGTAATGTTGCTAATCTAAATCCGCCAAAACCCGGGTAACTTGCTTTCAATTGCTCACTCACTTAATCAGAACACCAACATATCTTCACTTGATCACAGACCACTTATGCCATTTTCACCGGACCACGCACTCCAACTTAAGCTAACCAAAAACTTACAAAATATTTTGAATAATATCAATATCAATCTCAATACTGTTTCCACTTATCACATTTATTTGTCAGCATAAGAATAATAATGATAACTGATAGGGCAAAAAGCTTCCAATAATTACAACAAAAACCCATCACAAGATTATAATGACAACAACAAAATCGTACCTCTATTAATTCTTCAGAGGAACAGCAGACGGCTTGAGTAATACAATTGAACGCTGGTTATGAACAGAAGAGGATTTATCGGCCTTAGGAACCGTAACCCTAATCCAATTTTACCAAATAAAGAAGCTGGATTTTTTCAGAAACCCTAACCCTAGAAATTGCAATTGACAAGTGAAATCGTGAAATTATTGACAAAAAAAATATACGAAATAGCGAAAGAAAGGTGAGGCGAACAAAACCCCTAGAAGATTTTACACAAAGAACAAACCCTAACGAGATGAACTCTACGAAACCCTAGAAATTTGACGCGGCAGAAAAAATTTACAAAATTAGGACCAAATTCAAAAGGGCAAAGCAAGGAGACAGAAATTAGATCCAAGAAACGAGAGGGATTGGAATATTACGAGACGCAAGGGGCCGATTCAGAGTCGAAACCCTAGAATTGCACGAGGCCAAAGGATTTGGTCGAATTTGGGATTAATCGATAGAGGAGATTCGGATTTAAACAAACGGACATCCGATTCAACGATTATGATAAGAAATTAGGGGAAATCTGGAAAATAAATTTAGATCGATCTGCCTGGGATCGAATCGAAAGGCGATGACGATGAAAGATAAAAGGGCTACGGTTCGTATTTTTCTGTAAAGGAAGCGGTCCGGATTTAAAAAAAAAAAAAACCGGTTTAACTTGAAACCGTGAGAGAGAGCTTTGTTGTGGGCTGGACCCTATATAAGGCGAAAGGGCTGAAGCCGGCTTTTGTGGAATTGAATTTACGATAAGGTCCTCACGAAACAATTTTTTCTTTAGTCATTAAAGAACTTGTAGCCAACTGGTTTTGTTTTTATTTTTATTTTTATTCTTTGAACGTAAGAAGTATTGTACTTTTTTATTATGCAATCCTAACATTATATAAGGAGGTACTGTACTTTTGATCACTTAGTTAAAAGATACGCAATATAGACGATGTTTTCAAAAATACATTTGTGAGTTTGAACTCGTCATGAAAATTTCGAAACAAAAAATTATTCAGTATACAACTCCTCTCTCAATCAAAATATTCTAATAACAACATGACAATATATCCTATACATCGAATTTCTTTTGAAAAAATACAAGAGAAAAAAAAACTCATGGTACACTTGAGCGAATTTGTTGAAGGGCCAGGGGTATGTGCCCCCTCATTTTTTTGGGTTAAAAAAAATATATGCTTGGTTTTAAGTACTTTGTCCAACTACGTTTAAAATATCTCTTTTGAATTATTTTCTGGTGCAAAAGACGAGTTCAACAAAAGCTAAAAGCATCGACAACTCTCCGGTGCAATTCTATCGCTCGATTCTCATCTATGACCATGGGAAAAAATGCGTAATTATTTTTAGCAAAACGACATTGTTTCTTTAGTGAAGTTTAAAGTTCGTCATTTTTTCTTAAAAATGATAAAAGAACCGCTAACTCTCCCTTCTCTAATTGTCTTATAGATTTGAACTCTCGGCCTTGTACATATATAATTTTACTCGTTCGTTGACCTATAACAATATTAAAGTAAAATAGTATTGCAACATAGTATCATTTTACATAAATTAATAATATGATTCCAAATGTGAGGCAACGCTAGCATTCATTTGGGAGCCATTTGTTCATTCGGTTCGAGCCTTTTTCTTCTAATCATTTACACACACAGCGTTGCCTGTTTAGCATGAGATGTCATGATGACAGAGCACACGTGTTTTTCTCCAATTGTAAGCGACACTACTTTGCAACATAACAAATAAGGAAGACCAAAAGAATTATAATTTCCTGGTTTCTGATTTTATTACATTAATCTAAGAGAATAACAAATTGAGATATATTCCACTAAGCTGAGAACAAACTCAGGAACTGTATTAAGGGTACTATTACAAGTAAAATACGACGCAACATAACCCCCCAACTTTAAGAAAGCTGAAATAACAAATTAATACAAGAAGATAAAAATAAGGACGAATTAAGCATCCACTCTCAGTAACAAACTTCAGAACTGATAGAACTTTTACCCACAAGGGGATCGATCTTCAAATTACTGTGCTTCTCTCCTCATCATCAAGTCTTTACGCCACAGCGGGCATGTCCTTGAGCCACTCGTCCAGGGGCTTTCCGATCGAGTAAACAATGAACCCAATTTGCCTCAGCTTCTCAGCATCCACCACGTTCCTTCCATCGAACACAAATGCAGGCTTCTGCATCTGATCATAAATCTTCTGGTAATCAAGACTCTTGAACTCATCCCACTCGGTCAGGATGCAGATTCCGTGAGCATCCTTTGTTGCCGCATAAGCATCCCAGACTACACCAACTTGCTTCACAGCAGGGGGGCTCTGAGGTTGAAGATGAATGGGATGGTCCCAATCAAACTTCTTCATAGAAAGATCCCTCTGGATCTGATCCTCACTCACCTGAGGGTCATAAATGCTCAACCGGGCCTTGTCACCCAACAGCCCTTTGCACACATCAATGGCTGGGGTCTCCCTGGTGTCACCAGTGTCCTTCTTGAAGGCAAATCCCAGAATTGCAATCTTCTTACCCGAGACTGTGTTGAACATTGAGGAAACCACACGGTTCACAAACCGAGACTTCTGGTAGTCATTGATCTTAATGACCTGTTTCCAGTAATTTGCTACCTCAGGAAGGCCATTACACTCACAGATATATACCAAGTTCAAGATATCCTTCTGGAAGCAAGACCCGCCAAAACCAACGCTGGCATTTAAAAACTTGGGCCCAATTCTTGTGTCCTTGCCAACAGCATGTGCCACTTCTTGGACATTTGCACCAGTTGCCTCACAGAGTGCAGATATGGCATTAACAGAAGATATCCTCTGTGCCAAGAAGGCGTTGGCAGCAAGCTTTGAAAGCTCAGCAGACCACAAGTTAGAGCAGATGATTCTTTCTTCAGGGACCCAATGGGCATAGACCGACTTGAGTGCTTGAATTGCCTTCTGACCCGCTGGTGTTTCCCGTCCTCCAATGAGGACACGGTCTGGCTTAAAAAGGTCCTCGATCGCAGTTCCCTCAGCAAGGAACTCAGGATTTGAAAGAATTTGGAAGTTGATGCCTTTGCTGTTGTGGGTCAGAATCTTTTCGATGGCCTCAGCTGTTTTGACTGGGACTGTTGATTTCTCAACCACAATTTTGTCAGACTTTGAAACATCTGCAATCATACGAGCAGCACTCTCCCAGTAGGTAAGATCAGCTGCTTTACCAGCTCCAAGACCCTGGGTTTTGGTGGGCGTGTTGACAGAAACAAAGACAATGTCTGCCTCCATAACATGTTTTTCAACATCAGTGCTGAAGAAGAGGTTCTTTTCTCTGCGCTGCTTCACCACATCATCAAGGCCTGGCTCATATATGGGGAGAGTATCACTGTTCCAGGCATTGATCCTCGACACAGAAATGTCAACAACAGCTACTTCAATATCTGGGCACTTAAGGGCAATCACAGCCATAGTAGGCCCACCAACATATCCAGCTCCAATGCAGCAGATCTTCACCATCTTGTTCTGCTAATGATGGCCTACAGACGAGCAGATCAAAACAATGAGATAAGGTACAGTATTTTGAAGCACTGAAATACTAGATCTTTGTGCTGTTGTGGAATTATTATAGATTTGAAGGACTAAATGCTTCTGACCGACCTTTAACTTTTCTTAACATAACGAAAACATTTACAACAACTTGCAGAAACATAAATGAATTAAGAACAAAGGGACAAATACACCAATATATAGAATGATGACTAACAAGCTTTATTACTAATCGAACTTCATATATTCCATTGAGAATGCAGTATGATATCCAAATCTAGGAGAAAAATTGGTCATCCATGGTGAAGCAAAATAAAAAAAAAAAATCGAAAAAGATTAGAAAGATTAATGAAAATGGCTTAAAAACTTTGAGTTTTAATGAGAAAATAAAGAGTAAAATGAATAGTACCACAATTGACTTTTTAGTGTAAAAATGTGATTTTTCGTTAAAATAAACAGTACCGGAAGCTTTTCATTAAAATTCCCAAAAAGATTAACCATGAAAACAAGGGCCGACTTATCTAGCAGATTAAACAAAACTAATGAATCAATGTCTCTCCTACCGACAACCATATCACAGCATGGGCTCAAAACTTTATCTATTTCGAAGTATAATACTGATTCATGAACCTAAAACAGAGCACTGTAGTTAAGTGTGAGGTAGGTACATGCAAGATCTACAAGTTTACTAGAAAAAAAACGCATTACGATTTGCAGATCCACAATTTTTTAAGTGCAAATGAAAGAAATTTATCGAGAAGGAGGACGATTTCTTCAAATTTCAGCTACACAATCCCATTTCTACAACCCACACAAACAAATCTCAAACTATAAGATCCAAATTCCCAATTAAGAACCGATCCCAATCAGATCTACAGCAATCAGTGAGAAACTACAAGGATCTACACATTCCATCACACCCAAACAGCATCACAAGTTCATAACACAAGTAAATGAGCAATCTTGCCCGAATCAAACACCTCAATACACAAAACCCAAATCGAATCACGCAAAACAATATCCAAAATACCCAAAAACACCAAAAAAAAAAAAAAAAAAAAAACCCAAATGAGCAAAACCACTGAGCTTGATGAAATACCAAACGAGCAAAGCAGAGGAGTATTACCTCAATCAATGTGAGGCGGCAGGTCGACGGTGGAGGCAAAAAGTGAGAGAGATCTAATGCGGAAGAAGAGGAAGAGAGACGACAGAGAAAAAAAAAAGGGAGGGAGCTCTGTTTTTCTTCTTCTTCTGATGGCCGAGAATGTAGGGGATATGAGGGGTATATATATATACGCTCACAGCGCGGTGAGGAATTTTTAAGATCCAACAACCGAGATCTGCGTGACCCGGAAACAGCAGTGGTGGTGTGTACCCCGCGCCCCGCCCGATCCACGTCGATTCAACACGTTTTCGTTTCACCTTTCATTTTCCCAACCCAAACAAAACAAATATCACGTAGTAAAAAGAAAGTTCCCACCGTTAAAGTCAACCTAGTCTTCCCCATACGTTTTTTCCCTTGTTTGTTTTCGTGCGGAGATAAGTGGAAGTAACGATATATCCTCTCAGTCTTCCCCATACGTTTTTTCCCTTGTTTGTTTTCGTGCGGAGATAAGTGGAAGTAACGATATTTTTTTTTTTTTATGTTACTTTACATATATTATCACATTTATATGTGGAAAAATTTCTCGTTCACATGATTGATTTAGAGTTACAATAACGTCACCCTTGATGATATCTTGTTTCTTTCGTCAATGGAATTATTTGAATACATTGAATTAACTGATTTGTCTATTCCCTTGTTAACATAGATGTTTTGTTAGTGTATTTAGATCCAATTGTATTTAAAAATGTATAAGTAAATGTCAACTTATGTGATTTGGACTAAATCGGACAATTTATTAGTAATTATAATTAATTAAAAATCAAGCTCATCATCTATGTAAAAAAAATAAAAATAATCTCGTTTCAATTTCCAATAAGGTAAGGAACATGTCATTTTATTTACTATTCTGAAGACCTTTGGATTTCATGCTAGTTTTGTAAGGCACATTACAGTCTTGGGGTCCAAATAAAGACCTATAACCTTAAACAAACACATAACCAGGGGCGGATGGAAGTAGAGATTAAGGTGGTCCCAGAACC